GCAATTAATATAGATTTGATAAAAACCAGGAATTACATCACAGAGAATCTTCAATAACTATAATAACTATAACAATAATTTACATGCTGCAATGGATATTTTAGGCACCTTACTGAGACAGAATAGTGACATGAAGTTGGGCAAATAATGTGCTTTGACTTCATCACAATATGATAATAATTTACTGGTTACAGGTAACCAATAACACAGATGCTTTTTCTTATCACCATGTAATGTATACACAATGATGGTAAATGAAATTTTCCTCTAGTTTAGTTATTTCCAACATTTGTATACCCTGTCCTTCTCAACCCCTGAAGGGGGACTCAGGGTGGCTTACAACGGCAACAATTCGATGCCAACACATACAGAATACATACACAATATATCACAACATTACACATTAAATAAAACTATTAAGTTAAAATCCATTTCCCAAACTTGTAGTATTTCAATAACATAAAACTTTAGTGGATCATTTTAAGGTATCCAAAGAGAAGAGGGCAGGAATGGTTCCCAAGGGAACAAGAACACAACAAATAGAAGAGTTCTGGCACAAATCATTTTCATTGCTTTACTTCTGTAATGCTAGAAATTTGGGGAGTGAAGGAAAATTTCACTGAGGGAAGAATTTTTATTGGGGCAATGTCTGGATTGCAGCGACAGGCACCAGCAGTTTGAAACACCAATAAAAAACAGAGGTAGTAGGAAAGCTAAAAAGGCACTGCTGTACTTTGTGCACAAATGCTTTAGCAACCACAAACACCTGCTAAGAATGCCAATTAGGAACCTGCATGTGGAGATAAATTGGAGTTGCAGCTCCACATTATTCATGGATCTCTAAAATATGCATAATGTATGCCAGCCCAGCCAGGTAGTAAGCCAAAGTGACACCAGATCAATCGCGGTCATCTTTTGTAGTTTCCAAAAAAACACTGTGAGTGTGCAACCAATGCCAAATTGTGCGGTCTATACTAACAGCCAGTACTTTACCTATTACTTATTACAAGGCGATCCCTTGTAGCTCAAGGATGATTGTCTTCCAAATGTGGTGTCTTGGCGGTGGGTCTGTAGGTGCATGTTCTCCCGCAGTGAGGACATTGGTTTCCAGATGGAAGGTGGTCTCGGTCAGGGTTGGCTTGATGTGTCTTCCTCTTGGCATGTTTCTCCCTTTCACCCTCCTTTTGTGCCTCTTTGAATTCTGCAGCACTGCTGGTCACAGCTGACCTCTAGTTAGAGCACATAGTGGACCAAGGCTTCCCAGTTCTCGGTGTCTATGCTACAGTTTTTAAGGTTGGCTTTAAGCCAGTATTCTATTGTGATGAGGGAAAACATAGCGCACACACACTATTTGCAGAAAAAAATCACTGTAGAAAAGCCAACACTGATCTGCTACTCTTATCATTTTGCGATAAGAGTAAGTGATGTATTTAAATGTAAATGGTGCATTTAAGTGGAAGTGATGTGTTTAAATGTGCACAGCCAGGGAAATCCCAAAGCAGTTTTTGAAATACTTACAGGAATGTGCATTTAATGTATATGTTAAAGTCTAAAACTATTCAGATGTTCAGATGTGCCAAGAGAAAATGGATTCCCCACCCCAGGGTGGACAAGGTGGTACTGGAAAAAAGAAAGAAACCCAGTACATGTGGAAACACACAGTCCCCATCAAATTTAATTTGCCAAAGAGGGATCATCAGGAGACCACAGAAAGATAAGGTTTTGTTTTGCATTCTCATAAAAGTGAAATAAAATTATGCAAGAAGAAAATCATTCATTTAAAGAAAAAATTGGGATCTAAAGGCCACACAGCCATATAACCCAGAATATCAAGGCAGATAATCCATAATATTTGCTTTGAACTGGGTTATCTGAGTCCACACTGCCATATAAACCGGTTTAAAGCAGATAATGTGGGATTTTATACAGCTGTGTGGAAGGGGCCTTAGAAATAGTAGTCTGTGAACCCAATGAAAGGGGAAGAACAAAAGACGAGGATGCCAAGGATATCACAGCTACAAAGAAGGTGTGCACCACTATTGAACCAATGACGATACAGTTTGACCATGAGCTCATTCAGGAAGACTGGGAAAACCATAAACTCCATGGTTTCTTTCCTGCTGTGATTTAATGGCATTTTACCAATTTTGAAGCATCCCCATGGAATTCCAAGTACTTATGAAGACTTTTTATTCCCACTCTCCAGGCCACTTTAAATTAAACCAATATTTCCCGAAATGAAATTTATCTCTCTATGGTGATGTGTCTATTTTATCCTGGCACTAGCTGAGATGTTTCCTGCTGTTATGTGATTTCAGCTTTCTGATCTAATCAACTCTGATTGGATCATTTTGAAGTTTGTGTCCATTTATTGATCCACTCGCAAGGGGGAAGAATGTGGTGGGGCAAGCTATAATGGGCTGAAATAGTGTTGCAGCAAGTATAGGAGAGATACTATCAAGAGAGATCCTTTCAGGAGGTCAGAAAAGTACGTTTATTTCCAGCTGGGACCCTGGAGCAGAGCTGTGTCCAAAAGCAACCAGAGTGCCCGATAAAGGCGTTGACTGCCTTTTATACACTTCTGATCCCAGCTGATCCCTAAATCCGTCTGAAACCAGCTGATCCCTAATCCATCTAAAACACAGATATGTGCTTTTCATCTCAAGAACAGACAAGCATCCCGAGCTCTGAGGATCACCTGGGAAGGAATCCCACTGGAGCATTGCAGCGCACCCAAATACCTGGGAGTCACTCTGGACCGTGCCCTGACCTACAAGAAGCACTGCCTGAATATCAAGCAAAAAGTGGGTGCTAGAAACAATATCATACGAAAGCTGACTGGCACAACCTGGGGATCACAACCAGACACAGTGAAGACATCCGTCCTTGTGCTATGCTACTCTGCTGCCGAGTACACATGCCCAGTGTGGAACACATCTCACCACACTAAAACAGTGGATGTGGCTCTTAATGAGACATGCCGCATTATCACGGGGTGTCTGCGCCCTACACCACTGGAGAAATTACACTGCTTAGCCGGTATTGCACCACCTGACATCCACCGGGAAGTAGCAGCCAATAGTGAAAGGACCAAGGCAGAGACATCTCCAGCTCATCCCTTGTTTGGGTATCAGCCAGCACGTCAACGACTTAAATCAAGAAATAGTTTTCTAAGATCTACAGAGACACTCGCTGGAACACCTCAGCAAGTGAGAGTCCAAAAGTGGCAGGCTCAAACCCAGAGAGAACCTGAGAGAACCTGATTTTTCTATACATTTCAGTGCTTGTAAAGAACATACAATTTATACATAAATAAATATCTATTTTTCCAATATCTCTCCATCAATAGGTCTTAATATTTCAACTTCAATAAATACAATAGTGTCAGTCCAAATGAACAAAAGGTGCTTGGGAAGTTGGCCATTTCAATTGGAGCCCTGGGAAGAGGGTTGAGTTAGAAACACGGATAAGGAAGAATTTTCAGGAATAAATTGCTCATGTCAGGTAGGAACAGGAAGAAGATCCTTGGACTCTTGGGCAAGCCCATTGTGTGATTTCTGGGTCTTCTTAGGGCATTGTGAGGGGATTATGGAAAATATAAGATTATAAGGTGTGGCGAGGCAACATTTTTGGGGGAAATTCATGAAAAGGTTACTATAAGTCAAACGGGGAACTTAGTGCAGCTAGTGATCTATCTAAGAAGAGCTGCAGTTCATAATTGGGGGGCCTGGTGGTTTGATAAGACTGCCTATAAATATAAGAACTTTCCCCTGGACAGCAGATTCAACAGAGAACATGTGAGGGAAAGAGAAATGCTAGCAATAAAAGAAAATGATCCCAGTGTTAACTAGTGTAATATTGCTAAAGCACTTGAACACTCTCAAATAATTAAAAAATTCTCAGTGGAAATTGGTGAAAGGACATTACTAGAACATTGCATAAATGTTTGCCTTGTATGATCTGTGGGAGAAGGAAGAGAAAGAACACAAATTCTGGGATGTCTGCAGAAAGAGTTTGAATACCAAACCGTAAACATGTGGGTAAAATCTAAACAAAAAGAACTCAGAAGTTTTTTCTCCCTCTTCCTTATGTCATCTTATTTATATATGGTTATCATGTCTTTAACCCTGGCACAATGGGTTAAACCTATGTGCCAGCTGGACTGCTGACCTGAAGGTTGGGTTTCTGACCTGAAGGTTGCCTGTTCGAATCTGCAAGATGGGGTGAGCTCCCATCTGTCAGCTTGCAGAGACATGACAGAAGCCTCCCAGCAGGATGGTAACACATCTGGGCATCCCCTGGGCAACATCTCTGTAGATGGCCAATTCTCTCACACCAGAAGGAACTTGCAGTATGTTCTCAAGTCACTTCTGACACGATAAAAATGTCTTCTCTCAACCTTCTTTTCTGCAGGATAAACATATCCAGCTCTCATAGGGATTTACGGTCTCCAGACCATTGATCATTTGAGTTTCTTTCCTCCGGACACCTTCCAGCTTGTCAATATCTCTTTTAAATTGTGGTGTTCAGAACTAGACATAATATTCCAGGTGAGATCTGACCAAAGCAGAATAGAGGCACCATGACTTCCCTCAATCTATACTCCTTTCGATGCAGCCCAAAATCCCATTGGCTTTTTCAGCTGCTGCATCATAGAATTAGGAGAGACCACAAAAGCTATCCAGTTGAACCCCCTGTGATGTAATGAACAGTATATCTTTCCAAAGAGAACTTGTAATATGTTTTAGCAAAAGCCCTGGTCCCAACTCTCTTTGGTGCAGAGTGCTATTAATGTTGTAGGCCTATTAATTTTGTACGTCTCCTGCTGAGATAAAATGTCACTAAGTGAAAGAAGAGGAGCAGTTTCACTGGGATGTCCATTAACTGAGTAGTTTGTGCCTGAACTAAACAGGTTTGACACAAGCAACAACGTTGGGACTTAGAAACCCCTGATGCATTTTGCTTTTAGATCTTATACACAAACACTCTACACATAGCATCTTCACTTTTATTTTGTTCCTGTTGCATGAACAGCCATGATTTTCACATTTCTAAGAAGCAAAAAGAATACAATCAGCTGGATTTTGATTAGGATTTCTTGAATATAGTACTTTAATATCTGCATTTTAGTGCTGAAAGTGCTTCAGTGGTCATTTGTTCAGCCTTTTCCTCGATAACTCTGTGAAGCTGGCCATTGTTATACCGGGAAATGAGGCTGAGATCAATTTATGGTGCTATACCTCCAACTTGGATCTCCCTCCCAGGAAGGTAATTCATTTGACCTTTATATCTAGTAAACGTTTGGGATTAGGAGTGTTTGCTGTCACAACAACATAACATCTGTTCAACAGGTTTGGTCTTGTAATTTAATTGTATACTGTATTATTATTTTATTTATTTCATTTGTATACCATATTTCTCCACCGGGATCTTAGGAGGCCCAGAACATGATTATATATACATTTTAAAAACAACAACAACAACAACAACAACACACTTTTAGGTGCTGTTTTACAAAATAAGCAGGTTTCTAAACTTAGCTCAATCTTGTCTTCTCTTGTGGAAACCTGAATACATTCCTGGAAAACCTGAGGAAATCCATGTAAACTTTTACTCAAAAATGAACAAATTGCATTGGTAAACAAACAAATAATATGAATAAATAGAAATGAGAATGCTACCTATATCATATCTTAGGTAACTGATATGATTAAGATCAGATTCAGAAAGGACCCTCCTTCAAAAATTGAAGTTGTCCTTCTCAGAAGATACTGTTGGTATCCGAGGAAATTGTGTATAGTGGGAATACAGTCCCAGCAGGCTTGTGAAATTACATTTTAGGCTTCTCTTTAAGAAGATGGTGCTATTTAATATAAATAGCAATCCTATTTTCCCTCTGCCACCTCTGCTCCCTATGTGGGAGGCAGGAGACGTTTGGAGGAAAAAAATCCAATTATTTTTCTTCAGTCAAAAATGTAGGCTCCTTCATAGAGTCACAGCACTCACAGACCTGCGATGGCTACTTCGAGTAGAACTTTCAGTGTTTTGGGGGAGAAGGCCAGAAAACGGCTTCACGGGTGTACTTTGCTCAGGAAAAGCTGCTGCTGATAAGAAACTAGCATCACCAGTCTCTTCCTGGGTGCCCCACCTTGTGCCATAGTCATTGCCTTCTCCATTAAGTATCCATTCTTCTAGTCTCTCCTGCTCCACCTGACCCATGTTCTCAGAAATCAGACCTCCTCTTCCTGCTCCGGCTGCTGCTGCATAATCACCAGAGGTTCCCATGCCCATGTGTAAAACAGTTGAGTCAGGATCATCATTATGGACTGTTCTGCCCTGTTCTTTCAGTTTCCATTTCTGTATTTCCCGGACCTGTTCTTCTTTAGGGAGCTTATCCAGATGTTGTGCTTGCTGAATGGGTGATGTCTTGAAGGTTCCTTGCAGAGCCAAGATAAGATACCTTGGGAAAGCAAACAAGAACAAGAAGAGACGCTTGAGTAGTGATTTTAGGGAAATAAGCTTTCACATTTGCTTCCCTTTGCTTTAAGACACTCTGTGAAGTGGAATGATTTTTACCATTAAACAATATACTCAAACCACACCTCTATAGAAATCTACCTCTGAGTCAGGCATTTTACAAGCTAGCTAAGGCCTCAAAATGCAAGGAAGAATATTATAGGATTTTTGGAAGGGTTTGTCACCTGCACACTAGTCAAAAGTTTTTGTGGGGGAACAAGGGGAAGACTTCATTGCTACCAGGAAATTGGTGGAGATGAATGCTGTAGAAACAGAGATTAGGGCTGCAAGTGGGTGGTACTTTTGGAATAAGTTTCCTGTGCATGAGCTGAAATGTCTGAGTCCCAAGTTCAAATTGCCATGCAGCTACTTGGTACCTTGGTCCAGCTGCTGTGTTTCACTTTATCTCACAGGACTGTTGTGGCAGTCTTAAGACTATGTACTCTTCCTCAAGCTCTTTGGAGGACAGACAAAACAGAAAAGTAATAAATAATAACATGAACAAATAAATAAAAGGAGGCTGAGTACAATGTGAGATCAGTTGTCAGAAATGCAGTTGTAAATGCATACTCATATGAATTCTTGTTATGCATACTCACATGAATTCTTGTCCTGGCATTGAATGTTTGCCGTATATATGAGAAGGATGGGATAGAAATGTTTTAAATAAATAAATAAATAAATAAATAAATTCTCTTGGGGAAAGAGAAACTTGCAAAGCACAAATGTATTATGGACACACTCAGTCACCACCAGCTGAACAGTACTACTCATATATCTAATTGTCGATGGCTATGTAGCTGTTGTACCTCTCTAAGAGTGCTGTGCTCTAGATGGAAGTCATGTAGGCAAAATGGGTTGGTGATTGATTCTACAAAGTCATTTGTAGAGAAGTGAAGGCTTATCAAGTATGTGTCTGTGTCTGTGTGAGGTTCATGTGATAAGTAACAGCAAAAGGATATCTTTTTAGCACCTTAGGTAAGCAATAAAAACGATAACAACCCATGCTAAGCAGAAAGTAGCAATGATTAGTCTTCTTTAAATCCCTGCTCTAGGCTGCATTGCAAACACTCTTAAGAGTTACTTTTCATCACAGATTGACTGAGCCTGTGGGGAGAACTAAATCTCTGTTGAAATGTAACTGATGTAGCTGGTGATTTGTATAAAAATCAGTTCAAAAGATTCTGTGCTGGCTTGTACATTTAGATTTCAAACTTCCCAAAGGAAGTATTTAATGGCCTTTGCTTTCACTGCATCTAGTACAAGGGAATCCCTTCCAGGTTTTCTTGACACTTCAGAGATGCAAGAGTAACAAGATGCGAAAAGTTCTAGAGCAGCTCAAAGCTACACAACAGAAACTCTACCCTTTCAGTCATCAGAAAAACCAAAGTTCACCTTTCATCAATGCCTGTCATCAATGTATGTCTTTCCCCCATTTACTTTTTTTTGGTGGGGAGGGGGAGTGATCATAGAGTTCTGATTCTTCACGTTTCCTAGTCTATTACAGAGAAAACCTAATAAATGGAGGAACTACCAGGTGTGGGGTTTCTCTCTAGTTTCTTCTTAAAAATGCACTTCTATTTCTCTCCTCTTTTGTAGTAACCCCCTTGCCTAGGCTGGACAGATAGGTAGTACCCATAACTCTGACACAATCTGTCTCTTTGACTCTCATTCGTTGACTGCATATACATGCAATAAATTATGGTTTATTATTAGAAGTATAATTGTTATATATAATGGGCTTATGCACTCTTCCATGTTGGCTTGCTGTGATTTCTGAAACATCAGTAATGTGTGTTTCAAAGAATACCTATCCATGCATCTTGATAACCCATGCATTATGATCAAAGCCTTTTTGCTGTTTCAGCCCTTTCTGCTCACCCAAGAGAATCAAAGCCAACCACAAGATAGAAAAATAACATAAGGCTCCTTTATTATTCTCATCACTAAGGGCCCGTTGAGACAGTACCTGTATCCCAGGAGCTTCCGCAGCAAACAGGAGAGTGACCAAATGCCATTCCCTGAAAATGCGGAAGCAATAGCTACAAAAGGCAAAAACCGTGAGATTTCCTGATGCGGAAATATCACAGTTTTGATCTGAATATGCAGATCTTCACATATCTGTATGTCCCTGCAATCAGAAATCCCAGGGTTTTTTATCTGGGTTTGTTCCCAGGTTTTAGATGTTTGCTCCTGATTGGCTGGTTCCTAAAAAGAAGGTGACACTTGTGTAGAAGGCAAAAACTTTGTTTGTGTGCCAGAAACTTCATGAAATGTGTTGAGGGCACAGTTTCTCTGGCCAGAACAAAGAATGGAAGTTTTGCAGTGATTCGCAGCAGCGATTCTCCGCATATCTGCATCTTGAGTCTAAAAACTGCAGAAGTTTCTGGTGCAAATCCCGTAGTGGCCATCTTGGGAGCCTCTAAATCTTGCAACAAAGCATCAAGTCTGGACAATGGAAGCAGAAATCCCAGGACCAACAGGTCTATATGTGTTCCGCTTCTGAAGTCCTGGGATTTTTTGCCCTTGTTTAAAACCTGTGATTTAGTGCTGCCTGGAAGCACCCTAAGCAATTCCATAAGAGCAGAATAAGTAACTAACAAGCCCTTCTTGTGACATAGAAAGCCTGAGGTAACTTTTAGCTTGCCGAAGAGCAGGACTCACTTCGCTGGAATTTGCGGTGGGTGAGCATCAACCTGTTGCTTTCCTGATATACCATACAATAGATGAGGCTCTGGTTTAAATGAAACATCAGCAGGGTGCAAAGATTTCTTATATTAGGTTTAACTCAAGCTGCATTTCATTTTTAAAGGAATCACCCATCATATACTCTTCAAGCGATAGAATCTGACAAAGGCATGATATTCTAACATCTGGGGAAAGAGGCACATGTTCTTACCTTGGGAGGAGTGCAATGACTGGCGTAATGATGGATATGAAGTAAAAGTTAGGTACTGAAAATAACTTCTCTGTAATCCAGTAGGGATTGGTGGGATGATTGCAGACAACACAGATAGCATTATAGGTGAATGAAAAGATAAAGTAGAGCAGAATGCTTCCAATTATTGTGATCCCATGGAACCAGGTCTATGAACAAAAATGAGAGTAAGATTCTTTAGGGCAACAGGTCTTCTAGTTATTGTTTCAGTACAAAGAACTTGTAAAAAGACATCGGCAAATGTTGGTGCAGGAGAAGTTGGCAAATTTATACACAGAGAAACAGAGTGCCTAGTCACAGCTACAGTAGTACAACAGCAAAACTTTCGATGCTTATACAAAATACAACTATAATCCTGTTGGGCAATAGCACTGCAAGGTAATTTTAGGAACTGATATGATTGCAAATTATACATTCTTAATTCATTTCATTTTTATGTGGCAAGACTCTGATTTTTTTGGGGTATAATTGTCAACGTCACCTTGCATTTTGGGACTTTTTGGTGAAAACATTTCTTTTAGAGTATGGAAAAATGTATAATTTTATTCAAATTTTATATGCTTTTATGAAAGTTTCAATTGGTTTTCAGTTATCAAAACCTCTATATTTTGCATACAATAACAACAACAAAGTGCAGCAGAAATCACCAAAATGGGAAATGAAAAAGGGAGGGAAAGGTCCTTTTGCTGTGACTGAAGGATGAAAACCTTGTGCTGAATCATATATTTCTCTCAGTCTCAATATGTCAAGACATACCTTCTCACCAAGTATAAAATTATGTGTGAACATTACTTATAAATAACTCAAACATGATGCCCCTTTCCAAGCTTTAGGCCTATATTTGTGGTTAGCAATAGGGGAAATTCTTAGTTATGTTTCCAGATTTTTGCTTGGTTGTTGTTAAGTGACATCATTGGACTTATGGTGACCCCCCATGAATGAGAGATCTCCAAGTCCCTCTATCACAAATTGCTTTGCCAAGAGCTTGCACACTCAGGGCTATGGCTTCCTTGGTTGAATCTATCCATTTGGAATGTAGTCTTCCTCCACTTCCCACCACTTTCTAGCTTACCAAGTATTATTATTTTATATTAGCATATCAAAGAGGATTAAGCTGGGCATTAATATACAGATGGATATATCAGTTCACAAGAACAAATTACGAATTCTCAGGTAATGATTACTGGAGCTTATATACATACCCAGGCTGGAATTTCTAAAGCTTGGTGGAACAGGATAGTAAAGAGAGCAACTGTATTGATTACTGTTCCAAACGTGAACACACCAATATCAGAATCTTTATATACCTGGAAAACAAGGGGGGGGGGGGAATCAGAAGTGTATGAAAAAGACACAATCTAGGTTTTACTGAAAGCCACTGGGAAATGCCTCAAATACTTACTAGATAAGGGACAAAGAAGCAGATGAGGCTCTGGTAAAAGGCATCCAAAATGGCAATGAAAAAGGTCCGGGGCCTGTAAATCTATAGAAAATTATGAGACAAAATGAGAAGAGAACTTCACATGCCATTTTATGGTAACTCAACTAGTAACTCATCATTATAAAATCAAATTTGGTATTTTCTTGCATTCCACAGAACACAACCAAGGAAAGTGTACCTCTGAATTTTGTCCGCTCTTGTAAATGGCAGGCAAGCTTAATAAAGTTTCTGCAGAAATGTCTTTATCCAAGATTCCAGAAATTATAGGTGGAAGAGAAGTGAAAAACAGGTTGAAAAATATCAGTTGCCAGTAATCGATCATGGAGGCTCCAGAGAAAGCACAGTAAAATTGGTACCAGAAGAGCACGTTGACATAAGCCTGAAAGGTTAGAAGTTGAAATAGTTTCAATGGCTGTAGCATTCTAGAGATGCATCTTTGCTAACTGCATACAGATAATACGAACAGGGTAGCAAACTGGTTTATAACTCAGTAAACTGGGGTATTTTTATTTCAAGCAGTTTAGTCCAAATGCCTTCATTAAAGTACTCAGAAAGCAAGTATTTGAACTAGACTTTTGGCCAGAGTGTTTTTTACACCAAAACATAAAATTGACTCTGAGTCGGACTCTGTTTCTGAAGGAGAAAAGCAGTGTTGTTGCTGGCGGGGAATTTAATATAACAAAGCAGTGTGGAAAAGAGATGCATGTTCCTTTTTCTTCTTGCTCTCTCCTCCATGTTGCTTTTCCCACAACAAACTTCTAAAAGTGCATTTATCTTCACTTTTGGAATCTTGTGGACAAAAAGTTTGCTAGAGAGGTCTACACTAAAGAGATATCTTGTAGGGCAAAAGATTTAGAGCCAATTCTGTTCCTAATGGCTCTAATTTATCATTCTGTACACCTTGTCAGGATTATGCCAAAAACAATTTCAAAGTTTTTTGGGGCATTTTTGGATTCTTTAAAAGAGTGGATTGTCAAACAGAAACATCTCTCCTCTTGCCACTTGGGGAAAATGTCAAAAAAATTCTTTAATAAATTTAAGGCTCAATCTGCTTTTATCTTGTGTTTTATTGGTTGGATATTCATCACTCAAGATTCTCATTGTGTTTGTATGGAATGTCTTATAAGAGCTTTTGTGTGTGGAAGATATATAATATTCTTGCAACTACAGGCTTGGTAGGAATACCTACTCAGGTCAAATATAAAAAACAATTACCTTATTTATCTGTAACCATAAGCATGGCTGGCATAAAAATATTTAAACTTACCACATTTTTATAGAAAAAGTATATCACCATCTTTCCCAAGCGAGAATAGCACCAGTGTCCATGGACTAGAAGCAACTTCTTGAGATGTTTAAATTGTGATATAGCAAAATCACTGGCCATGACAGCCTAGAATAGAGAACATTTGAGAACACAGATATATACACACATACATTCTACTTTACAGAATAAATCACAGGTGAATTACTGATGCAAAACAAAAGACTTATTATCTGTCTACCACAAAGTGAGAATAGGATACAGGTTTCAATACATAATTAAGGCAAACTTATAGGCTTTGGAACACCAGGTGTTTTCAGCTGGAGAGCCAAAGCTCCTATAGTTCTCACAAGCACCAGGACTGTGGCGCAGCTGGCTGGGAGTTAGCTGCATTAAGATCACTACTGACCAAAAGGTCATGAATTTGAAGCCAGCCCAGGTAGGAGTGAGCTTCCGACCATTGTGTGTAGCTTGCTGTTGACCTTTGCAGCCCAAAAGACAGTTGCATTTGTCAAGTAGGAAATTTAAGTACCACTTATACAGGGAGGCTAATTTAACTTAAATTGATGCAATGACATGATTTAGAATTGCTGTTGCAGGGGGGTGGGGGGAATGGGGGGAGGGGGGTGTTGGGCAATACATAACTAAGGAATGTATAAAATGTCACTTAAGGAATATTTACTTTTGGAATAATGTATATTGAAATAAGTCCTGTATGGCAAAATTTTGTTGATTGTTGGGATGTATCAAATAAAAAGTAAAAAAAAAACACCCTAATTTACGATGCCATAAAATCTCCAGCAAGCAAGCAAGTAAGCAAGCAAGCAAATGAGGAAGTACTCCATCAGTGTCTCAAATGAATGGTGTAGCGACAGCTCCCCTGGTGGCCAGAATACCCTCATGAAAGCTGGAAAGTTAAATAGCCTCTGTGTGTCTGTCTATATATGTTGTGTGTCTATGGCACTGGACGTTTGCCATGTGTATATACATTGTAATCCGCCCTGAGTCCCCTGCAGGGTGAGAAGGGTGGAATATAAATACTGTAAATAAACAAACAAATAAACAAATAAAACAACATATGACTATTGGCCATACTGTGTGAGGCTATAGGAGATGTAGCCCAGCATATTGGGAGGGTCAAATGTTCCCTGTATCTGATATAGTGATTTTGATAGATTGTGGGGATGGAATATAATGGATGATAGTGTATAATGCCAGATAGCTATCATGATAACTTATGTTCATGTCAAGTGTGTCCTCTATAAATACTGAGTACTAGTGGAAATATGCCTTTGCAGTAGTTGCCAAAGGTAAATAAATACATGTCCTTGAGTATACATACCTGCATACCTTCTTGTCCAGATATGCCAATTCCAATATTAGCTGCCTGTATCATACTTACATCATTTGCACCATCACCTACAAAGAAGGAGACAGTGATAATTAAGATGCTTAATTAAGATAATTATTTTTTTCAGTTAAACCAAAGCCTTGTTTGATATATATCTCAGTGTGAAATACAATAATGATTATTGTCAAAGAGTGGCTTCAGTTCACATCAGGAACCTAATTAAATTCTTGCCATAACCACAGACTTTCTCCTCACATTGAAATGCCATTTTAATTTTTCTGAAATGTTTCTAGATTTCAAAACCAGGCAGTGAAGTTTGCCAAAAATAATCACAGAGCCCCTGAACTTAAAGAATTAATATTATAGTCCTTTAGAAGATGGATAACACTCTTTTATAGCCATATATATTTCTGGACTGGGTCCACATGCAAACATAGGGAACAGGACTGGCACAAGTATACTCCCCCAGCCCCCCTTCCCCATATAAACCCATTCAGTCACTTGAAAATGCTACACAAATGATCAGGGAACTCTTTCAAATATCAAATGAGCTTTGGGATGAGGGAATCCATGAAAATTTGGCAAGGCAGATTTACTTTAGATTTAGAATATAATTGTAGCTTTCACAGGTCAAGCTAAATAGTAGCAACCAATGCCAAGTTAGGCTGCTTAAGTACCTAATTACTCACCTATTGCCAGTGTCATAACTTTTAGATGACTCCGTACCAGCTTGACCACCATACTTTTCTGCAATGGCGTACACCGGCAGCACACCACTGAGCGGCTATACTGTGTCAGTTCAAGAAACTTGTGCTGAAGTTGTCCTTGGAAAATGATGTTTAGAGTTGTCCCATCAACCACTAGCCCAATTGTAGGAACTGGTGTTACTTTGGATGACAAAGAAAATGGCAGCTTAATGCCAAAAATATTCCATGTCGTTTTTGGAACATATTGAGTTTTCTTTACTTCTTCCAAAGTGATGTCTAGCAGTGACTCACATGTTTCCTATGGAAAGATAATGGCATAATCTGTTATGCTAAACTGTCTGTAAACAGTGGTGTGTTCCATTTATAATCAGTGGTAGTTTTTTAATGAGCTCACTATCCTCCATTTTCTTTTCCCATCATAATGACTAGCAACTACTCGTGTCAGCATCAAACTGCCATGTTCCACAATATCAGATATTGTGGGTATTATCATTTTTGTGGTAGACATTCAGGTGAAAACAGAAGTGGTGAATGTGCCCATCTTGTGAATTTGCTTCAGGGTGCGAATACAGACTGACATGATAGAATTATTTTATACCATGGTGACTTTTGAGTGGGGGGATTGTGTGGCTTTCAAGACCAGTCTGAGTTTGCATTAAAACAGTTGTTGGAAGGTGAGTATGATATTAACAGGGTCAAACTAGAGCAGGTTATTGCACACTGAAGTTGAGATACAACCCTCATGTAGATTCAGCCACTGTCATATTCCACAGAAAATTCCATAGCCCCTGAGAAGTCATTGGTGCTCACCTTACTTTCTGTGTTAATGGTGAAGACAGTCTCTCTTTGGTTCAGAAGTTTGCAAGAGTAAGCAATGTTGACAGCTGTTTCCTGCTTATCTCCAGTCAATACCCACACCTGGATCCCAGCTTCTCTGAAAGCAGCAATGGTATCTGGCACTCCATCTTGCAACCGATCTTCAATCCCAGTGGCGCCTAGTAAAAAAGGAGAAAATAAGAGCCTTGGCTGAACTGAGTGTGCTGAAGACACTTACTTTGCACCAAAAAAGATCCATTCCAAAATCACATAAACTTGCTTCATTTGAAAATAAAATTTAGATAACAACATTCTAAACAGCACAGTTTTATCCGGCTAACTGCAAAATCTGCTTTCAAACCATGTACAGTACAAGAAATGAATGACATGCAGAATTTCTCTGTTGTTTTGCCTAGAGACATATAGTGGCCATATAAGCAATAGTGGAATACATTGGGAATAACTACTATATGGTTTAACACTCCAATAGTGGGAATGTAACCTGAAATATCAAAATACTCCACCATAATGTTAAAAAAAGCCATCTTATTATGCTCAAATATAATATTTCATGGCAATGCAGTCATGTAGCCTGTCTCTGATCCTATTAAATGGAATCTTTTTTTGTTCTTTGTAAAGGGAAAAGTCATTTTTTACTCTGGTAAAAACCTTTTGCAAGCAGTATTGCATATCAGCAAATTAAGCTGCATGACACAGATCTCTAGTGCAAGCAGGACTATGTTTGGATGTAGCTCATTAACTTATACACTTTGTATACATCCTATCGTGTTTATTATACACCTGTGCATAGAAGTATACAAGTATTTTTCCTTTTCATCTGATGGTAATCATCTGGATCATAAAAAGTATATTTAACAAGGGTAATTGAAAGGTGACCAATTTAACTGAAAGGCATTTACTAAGCAAATCCTTATCTCCTCAAAGAAAGTTAGGCCATATTGCATTTCCTTTCTTGAGATATCTAAAAATTGAGATAAGAAGGGTATATGAATACTGAAGATAAGATCTGCAGTGACAGTAGCATTCAAAGAGAATAATTACATCTTGACTGGTGCTGATCTGTACATTAAATGGAAAACATTGCTTGCCGAATGGATGGCTAACTTGAGATAGCTGCTACAATGGGTACCCATCACAGAGGCACAAGGGGGCCTTGCTCTCAGGTCTTGCAATGCTGCCTGTACTATGGGTTTATAATTAGACGCAAAGCTTCAAGGCAAGGTACTCCTTTACCGATATGAGACAATGACTTGGCATTTTTATATGAGTTTAATCTGTTTGATTGATTAATATGTATTTTAATTGCTATATGCTTAGATTGTTTTATATTTGATGAGTCGCGTTTTATTGTTTACCTGTGAGGCACTGAATTTTTGCTGGATTTGTAAACCATCTTGAGTCCCCTCCAGGGTTGAGAAAAGCGGGGTAAAATTGAAGTAAATGGATAATAATGATATATGATACCTCTAGGTTACAGTTTTAGGCTGTGCATTTTTATAGCAGAGTTGCCAGAAAGACTGGCTAGTAGAGATGGAAACCAAACTAACATATTTTTGCAGTTAAATTAAGACACTGAATTATATTTTGGATAAATATGATGATCTCTGCCCCTAAATATCGGCTTCTAAAGCTGTTCCTCTTCCTCACATGCTACAGTTTCAAGCTCATATGGAATTGGGGAAGGAAGATGCTCTAGCATTGTTACTCAGGAAGCTGGAAAAGTGGGAATCTTGCACACCTCAGTTAATGAAGTTGACACATTTTTGGGCTGTACTCCCTTAAAAGGTATTTGATACTAGGGGCAGAAATAAAGAACCACCATTCAACAGGATACCTTTTGCTCCCCAAACTTAGGATTTGCAGATGTGAAACCACCAGTTCAGGTAAACCTTGTACAATTAAAAAAAAACTATGAACCTTCTAGAACCAAACTTAAATCCTCCTCCAGCATGCAACCAGGGATGACTTTTTCTTTCACCAGCTTCCACTTTTCTTATCAGTTCCATGTACAGATCTATACATTTCAAAACTTGTTGGGGATAGTTGGCGAGGGAAGTTTATCAGATCTCCCTTTTTCTCTTGGCATTGTTGCTTGTGAATTCACAGTAAGCCCTTCTAGAGGTATTACTAGTTACCTTGTTTGCTGTAGGCAAACATATGGCTACAGCAGGATGGGCTAGCAAAGAAGCCTGTGCTTTCCCCACTTGAACGTTATTGCTTTGTTGACTGCAGACATGCTGCTGCAAACCAGCATCAATTGTGTTTCTCCAGCTTGGCTTCACAATTTCTCCAAGATCAATGCTGCCAAAAACCTTCATTCTAGATGAAGGTTTTTGGCAGCATTGATCTTGGGGGAATGGTGAGCCAATGAGTAAAAGGGGTGCTGGGCAGAGATAAAAACACATTGTACAAAGGAGAATCTTTGTCAGAGGAATATTTCCCTCTGTGTGTCTATCTATTTGTCTCTGTCTGTCTGTCTGTCTACCTCCCAGCAAAAACAAAACAGCAATTCTTTATAATATACAAAATGAAAAACTGCAAAACCTCACAAACATTGTATATGAAACTGGTCATAGAGCTAAGAACACTTTCATTAGAAAGAGGATGAAATTTGCTTTTCATTAGTGCCTTAATTTCACGTAAATGTGCTTAGAACTCGACAGAGGTTAAGAAATTCCCCCTTTTGGGTGATGTCAACACATTGTATTGCTTTATAATGAAACATTTAAATATACCAAGCAACGTGAGCTTAGTCTCCAGATGGTATGCTGTCTCCATTAAGAGCTCATCTCGGTTTTCAATAGCAGATTCTGCTTCACAACGATAGTTGGCCCATCTCTGAAAGTCATCTTCACTTAAGACCTGCCATAAATAACGAACACTCATAATCGCAATACAGTATCTTATTGTATTTCTGCAGCACCCTGCATTGCTTGAGGTAAACATTTCAAATGGAATTACATGATTTATGACTGAATTGTTAGATCTAAATGTATGAAATTGGTTAAAGAAACTGAGCACTAGTGCAAACGCAGAAACCATAATGGTACATGAAAGTTCATGGAGTGTTCTTCAGAACTTCAGGCAGATAGGGATGTGCATATGCAATGATTTTACCCTGATCATAAAGTAGGATTTAAAGTACATTCCAGCCTGAACTCAAGTATATTAGCTATGAAATATATCTCACAGAATTCAGTGGAGGTTGTTCTAAAGTAACCGAGTTTGAGGTTTTAAACTTTCCTCATAAAGTGTCCTAGCATTGTATTTCAGTGAAGAAACCATCACATGGCATCTCTTTTTTCTTCATGGAATGGGACTCTCTTGCTCTAGAATGCCAGCTCAGATTGACTACATTGCCATTAATGGTATAGATATACATGCTCTTCCATATATTTTGTTTTTTTTTGTTTCAGTTGTGTGTATGTGGAAATACCTTTCCTTCCTCACACAATGACCAAAACTCTGCCAACTCACTTCCGCCTTACAACTACTGACTCTATGCCCATGTAGTGGTCAGTAGAGAATAAGGACAGCTGAAATGAGTCTAGCAATGTATCCACAGCCAGATACAAGAGACAAAAACATCCTCTGTCAACATTATAGAAAGTGACACTACATAGCAGTGATTCCAGACACTTTACAGCAACCAAATAAAATCCTTATAAGAACGTTCCCATCTAAATATCATTCTCCAAGTTTCATTGATCTATGACTGTAATCTACAAATCATATTCTATAGAGCAATTCTGGGATGATTATACAGGTTTTCACAGAACTTTTATAAAATCCCCACAAAGCAGCAGGTTTGGGAAATATATGCTTTTATTAATCAACCTGACAAGTGCTGCATGAAATATATGAGGATATTTGTCTCAGCATGCTTTTGGAAACATTTAAGGAAGGCTGAAAAGAAGTACCGAAATGGAAAGGCTGGAACACAGAACTAGTCTTTTTTATATTACTTTTAAGATATTTCAGGTCAGGAAAAGAAAAAAAAAAGAAAATGTAAGAAGTCTTAGAAAACAGATGTGGACAGTTTCCATTGGGAAACTGTCTAGAAACAGTTATACAAGCAATTTCCAAGTGACAAGGTTTCAATAAAGAGCTGGTTTTTTTTTTTACCTTTTTAGCTATGCAGAGGGTTCTCAGGCCTTCTTGCGCATATATATCTAAATGTTTTTGTGTATGAGTTCTTAATTTTCTCATACGCTTTTCATCAGGTAGACTAGCTGTGAAACACAGATGGATCAAAGGTTATTCCAGCTACAGATTATTCTAAGACCGAGAGACAAAATTGCCATCTCATTCCTCCTGTTCAATAAATCTCTGATGATCTGCAGTACTCTGACTTGCAAATGCAAAATACTTATGCTTTCATGAAAATGTAGAGACCATATCTCTATATCTAGATCAGCCTTGCACAACCCATGTGGCCTCCAGGGGTTTGAGACTCCAACTTTCAGACACTCTAGGCACTTGGGCAAAGGTCAGGAGTTCTGGGACCTGAAGTCCAAAACATCTGGATGGGCACAGGTTGTGCAGGCCTGATCTAGATTCACACGTATGTATATGTATTACATGCTACAGTTTATTGGCACAAGTTAACTTTGCACAGATTACCTTTGCCTGGGTCTTCCAGTAAGTCCATGATGATGGAATCGGCCCCTTTGGTATAGACAATAATCTCCTTGGTAAGCGGATGCCTCACCACCACTGACATCCTTTTCCTGTTGGAGTCAAATCCCAGAGTAAATAAGAGGTCAAATGTCAGGAGGGTACCTTTTGGCAGCCTGACAGTCACTTGTTGCGCAGATCGAGATACCAACGTAAATCCATAAGCACGAGCTGCATGGACGAGAGCAGCTTCATCTGGGCTTTCAGCTTCATAACAGATGTCTGGTTGCAGAAGACCTTGACTAACTGGTCCATCACAAACCTCAATCAGTGAAGGGTCCAAATCCTCAGGGGCATCATTCTCTATGATCAAATCCCTTCTAAAACTGTCATCATCTGTTAAAGTGAAGCAGCTCTGGCTATGGAAACAATCTTTTCTTTCAGAATCAGTGCAAACTCTAGTGCTTTCTGAGTTTAAACTCTCTCCTAAGTTTGAACTTGACCGCATTGACTGGAGAGACTGGCTGAAGCTTGCCAGCTTTAACCGCTGGAACAGCTGGTGAATTCTCTCCAGGGAGAGTCCTGAGGGTTTTGTCAGTGCAGGTGTGGTAACCTTGAGAGGAAAGAAGGAAAGAGCATTAATTACAACTGAAATTATACACTGCAGTACAAGACATTGGGAGTATTTTCAAATCAGCAGGGCCAGACTATCAATCACACAACAAAACATCAGGTGATGTTTCCAGTTAAAATGAATGGGCTCATTAAGAGGGTGTTAGGAGTATTCTTGCTTTGCTTATTTGCATATTGTAGAAGCAGACTAAGATGGAAATGGCTTACAAAATATTGAGATAGGAAATATGTACCTCAATAATCCTCTTGCAAAAAAGAACAGAGCTGTCTACCAAAGAGCTTTAGGTTGATTAATTTTGTTTGCCTTTCAAGTGGTCACTAAAGTAATTAACAAAATATGCCTACTAATGCTAAAAGTGTTTTTTTCCTGTTTATCTTAAATGAAAGTGACTGCTTTTCTTAAATAGAAGAAAAGAAAAAGGAAAAAAATCCCCACAGGGTTCAAACCAGAAAAAATCAACTAGTGGGGATGGATGAATCAGTTTGCTTTTGCTTTGTGCTTATTTTTCATGGGTTATTTTAGAATAATGTAAAATTGCATTTTGTATTCATTTTGGTGTGGTATTTAAAGCTGAAAATGGTATCACACAATTCAGATAAATGTGAAATAATGATACTACAGTGGAACCTCTAATTAAAAGTATCCCAACTTGTAAGAGCATTTTAAGTTAAAATCTTTGACATAAGAGCATTTTGACTTAAGAGCTAGCGCCAGAGGGAGTGCTAGTGCCAGAATACAGGGCTTCAGGGCTTCAAGGGAGCAACCTTCATGCCTCATGCTCTGGTTTACTTTGGGAGACTGCTATCTGCTTTTATCTTGTCTGCTTTGAGGAACTTTGGGTTAGTTGATTTTGTGTGGGTTTTATTCCTGGTATGTTTGGCCTCATGAAGAGAGAAAGAGGGGGAGAGAGAGAGCAAGAGAGGGAGGGAGGCTGAATGAAGAAAATGATTTTCCCCCTATTCACTTTGTGCTTTGTGCTTCCTTGCCAGAGTGTTATGCTTCTACCATTTTAAAGTTGATCTTTGCACTTATACATTACTTGTTATTTATAAAGTACATTTTCTTATTTAAAAACACATAACAAAAATGGGGGTTGGGAGGTTGGGGCCCATAATGGATTAACAGAATTTCAGTGGGAAAATTTATTTTGAGATAAGAGCATTTTAAGTTAAGAGCTCAATCACAGAACAAATTAAATTCTTAAGTTAAGGTATCACTGTGTTTACATTTTGGGTCATTCAGGAGGTGTGATCATGTTGGCTCACTTCCAAGTGTAACCCAGACCAAATTCACCTGCAGTTCTATGGCAGGTTTCTTTCTTACCACCTTGATAGCTTTAATCACAAAACAGAAGTCTGTCATTAGAACCAGGGTTTTCAAAGAGAGGTTAAAGTGAGCACTTACCCTTTGTCTTGGGTCAGTTGCAGTGGAAACTACAACAGTATTGCAGAGGGTCAGAGCAAGAAAAAAGTCGGTGACTGCAGAAGTAGGGCTTGCAGACATAAAAGGTGTCAATGGCTCTAGCTTGCATGATGCATTTCTCACTTTCATCAACAGCCTATTATCTGGGATCACATCTTTTTCCTGGAAGACACGTTATTTAAATCATTGTATTATACCTAATCAAACTTCATCAAATCCACAAGTGACAAAGTAATGTATTTCCACTGCTGAATACATTTATATTTATATCTATACATATGCGTATGTCTATATTTGCTTTGACATTTGCTAGTGCCAAGACTTTGAATAAAACCTTAACACTGATTTGCTGCTTATTGGATTTCTTTGCATTGGACCTGAGGCAAAGGTGCTTGGAAAATATGTTGCACTAACTTTTTGCTAGGAACGGCTGTTTCTTCTTCTTCTCCAAATGTATTTCTACCTGAGGCTACAACTTGTCATGCTTGGCACGTAAACATCAGGAAACCTGGCACTTAGTAAACAAAACATCAACAAGCTGTAACATACCAGCTTGTTGATGAAGGAATCAAAATTTTGCTTAGTGTTAATATAAATAATGGTAAACCCTTGAATATAATATGTTTTTGCTCCTGGACAAATTTTGTTTTTAATTTTGAAAGAAAACAGAACAAAACTGGTGTCTGCTGTTATGCTTTCAATAATTTTGATTTTGATAAAGGATTCTCTAGACAGAACAAATATGCTGAGAAATTGTAGTGCTTGCTGTTAGAGTTTATTTTTTTAAAAAAATATCCAAATGATATTTCTGTTGTCTATACTGGCTGCTTAAGTTGGGACCAGTCTAGAGCATGATGCTCCAGATGATCCCAGAGCAACTGTGATGATGACCAGACACACCTGGCTGAACCTGCTCTGGCATTCCTTTGGAATCCAGACAGTCCAGCTGGGCCAAGATTGCATCACCCACTCTGGAACATGACCTCATTCTCTGGCAATCGCTCTTTGCTGTCCACAAAACTTGCTGTGAGTGCCTGACCATTGCCTGCCGTGTCTGCCAATGTCATAACAGAGGTAGATCAGCTGCCTCCTTTCTGCTGGTCATGTGGGTGGCCCATTCTGGCATTAGCAGATGTGGCTGCAGTGGCCAGGCACTCACATGCATCACTGTGGCTTGTGGGAAGAGGCAATGGTGACAGGGGCACAAGCTATCCTTTTGGGTCGCAGTATCCATTTGGAAAGAGAACTGGGCCAAAAATAACCTGACCCAGCAGTCCAGATTGCTGAGAAGCTTCAGAATACTCTTTGTGTAAGTTTTATTGATGCAGAAAACCTGTGATACTCGCTGGAAGTCTCTATGTATCATGGGTATATTTGAAGTGAGAGTCTGTGCTTTTTCATCAATGTAGACAATTCCCCAAACTACTTTCTGGCAATTCCTAGAATCAGATGTACTATTTATTCCTTTACGCAAATGGCCTTATTTTCAAGTCCGAGACGTATTGAAACAATATACGTATTCCATCATTTTTCTCCTTTTTAATTTTTTGTGTAATTATAGTACTAGAGCATATCAGTGAAATGGTACTATAATTCTAGTTTTCTTTTTTTAAAAAAAACAACTTTGGAAGAAATATCCAAGAAATTGCTACAAGCAGCACAGCAAAATAATTGAATGAATGGATATCGAGGTAACAAGAACTGGCAAAACCCAACAGATTTCAGGACTCTATATCATGAAAAGAATTCATGTTTCCTTAAACAAGGGGTTCTCAGACTTTTTTTGGCCATGGAGCCCTTTTTTGGCCATGGAGTATCTTTTGGAGTCCCACAACATGTTTATATAATAATAACAACAACAACAACAACAACAACAACAACTTTATTTATATACCACTCTATCTCCCCGAGGGGGACTCAGGGTGATTTCTAAGCAACATCACCAAAACATACAGAGTAAACTGCATAACAAAATTAACAGAACAACATAAACATAAAATTATCACAATTACACATATATATTAAAAATAATCCTGCCTGTTCAGAGCAATATATATATATAGTGTGTGTGTCCGTGTGTGTGTCCGTCTGTCTGTCTGTCTGTCTGTCTGTCTGTCTATCATCTATCTATCTATCTATCTATCTATCTATCTATCTATCATCATCTATCTATCTATCTATCTATCTATCTATCTCTATCTATCTATCTATCTATCTATCTATCTATCTATCTATCTATCTATCTATCTATTCATCTATCTATCTATCTATCTATCTATCTATCTATCTATCTATCTATCTATCATCCAATCAACTACATAACAGTATTTCAGTGGAAGATCCCAGGGGCCATTCAGTCCAACCCCCTTCTGCCATGCAGGAAAAGTACAATCAAAGCACTCTGAGTGGTGGGAGGGAAATAGGGATTTGTAAGCAAGGCAAGGAAAAAAAGGCTTTCTGGGGAGGGGGAGGGGTGAGGGAAGCTGGGGAGGAGCAGGGCAGAGGAGGAGGAGGAGGGGACTGAGGAGGGAACTGTGGAGGCCCTCAGTATGCTTTGCAGAGCTCCAAGAGCTCCCCAGAGCACGCTTTGAGAACCACTGTCTTAAACTAATGTGGAAAAATAGTCTAGTTTTGCTTTTCAGGCAGGGCTCTTTTCAATCCAGGTTCTGCCTTGGATTATATTTTACCATTAAATCTTTGTTTAAAACATTGTAATTTGATAATAAAATAAAGCTAACCATCGCTTGTCACATAATTGTCACATTTTTATCTTTCCGCCTCTACAAATGACTTTGAATAATCAGTTTGAGAGGAGGGGCAGAAAAGAGAGTCTTAAATGGTGAATGCTCAACAAAAGCCTGAAAAGTGGGAAGTAAGCAAACACATTGACAAATTATGTTATATCCAGGGCACCACCACTCTTCCAAATAATCTCTGCACCTTTTCAAGAATACATCTCTACTCAGCTTCCACATCTTCAATTCTCTGTGGTCATACTCAAACTTCACAGCTGGTTCCTTTCCACCCCCACCATGCACCTTAATTGTTTGTTTTCCCCACAAAAGGTATACAGTTAAAAAGTAAATCTGACAATTCCTCAGTTGCCACTGAAGGAGACACCATTCATTCCTGCAAGAGCCTAAGCACAGTGGTTCTCAACCTGTGAGTTCCCAGATATTTTGGCCTACAACTCCCAGAAATCCCTGCCAGTTTACCAGCTGTTAGGATTTCTGGGAGGTGAAGGCCAAAATATCTGGGGATCCATGGGTTGAGAACCACTGGCCTAGCATGAAAGAATTAATCTGTCAGTATTTATACCCATTTGCACAGTGTCAGAGAATATCAATGTCCAAAGAAGAAAATTTGAAGTAATTTGCCCTCTGCTTCACATGTTATTGACCCCAAAGAGCTACACAGCCATATGATTTTGCCTGAGGCTTCTCAGGCTACTCATGTGCATATTTTGTTTTTCTTCCTGCAGTTGCAACTGGGCATGGTCTCCTTCTTTCCCCTTCTGTCCCTAAAATATATGCAGGTGAAATATAATGACTGTGAATTATTGTTACTCACAATGCTACTGCTGAATGCCACCTGAGATGGAGAGTTTCCCCAGGCACCTAGAGATCTGGTTCGTTTATGTCCCTGTAAATGAGCCCCCGTACTTTCGCATCTTCTCAAGGGCTTGGATGGATTTGTCCATGTTAAAGTGACCTTTTCTGCACCTTTATTTGACTGGAGACTCGGATGCTTTGTCCATTCTTCATTATCTGAATCTAGTTCATTGTAGGTTTCCAGTCGCTTGGCTATATGACAGAAAAGAGATACATATTCTCACCTATTTAGTCAAGACGGATGGAAGGAAAGTCTTCCAAACAATCTGTTATTGCAATATAATATGTTTAGTCGAAGAGACACCAGATTGCACAGTGGTTAAAAATAATGGTGTAAGGAAAGCATGGGATCAGGTGCCCCGGTTAAGTTCTATAACCTTGATTCTGTCTTCACTATTGGCAAATAGGAGAACAAAGTGGAAAGATTCAGCATAAGTATAAGTATACTTATGGGAGCAGCATAAAATCAGAACTTATCCTATTTATTATGACAATAGGATTGGACCAGACTAATTCAATGAGACCTAAGCACCTCTGGCCTTCATCAGGGATTTAACAAACTATAGCAGAATTCTAGATTTGTGTTCCCACCCCGTCTAAGGCACATGGCTCAAACCAGGAGGTATAATCAGGCCCGCGAAGCCAGAATGCCCCCCTCCTGCTCTCCTTCCGGTGGGAGGTTAAAACCTTTTTATTCAGGCTTTTAAAGAAGAAGGTTTTAAATATCATGTCAGGGTATTCTGTGTTTTTTTAAACCTTTGATTATGGTTTTATGGATTTTAACTGTGATTTTTAAAATACCATTTATATTTAATTCTGTTTTAATATTTGTATATTTGTAGATTTTAAACTGTACTGAAAGGCTTTTAATGTAAGCCATCTTGAGTCTCCTTATTGGAGAGAAAAGCAAGGTATAAATAAATGTAAACATATGATGATGATGATGATACATTCCCATAACTCCAATAATCCCAACAATTGCAGGACAATGACCTTTGCTAGTTGAAGAGCAGCAAAATGTGTGTGTGTGTATACATACTATTAGCAATACTGGTAAATTGCTCAGTGGCTGAGGTTAAGTATCCAGGTAGTTGAAGGCCCTCTGCTATGTGCCCACACTGTATGGATGTGGCTCCCTTCTTGCACACACATATAATTGTACACCTTCAAGAGACCTGGTTGCACAGGCTGTGTTCCTCTACTGCCTTCATCACTGCTGCAGAAAGCAGCTCAAAGTGTATACATACATCTTTCACTAACTAGTGAAACAACTGTTTTAAAGGAGAAAGTTTAGGGCTTTGTTTTTCATAACAGTTTCCACATTCAGTGCAATCTACATGTATGAAGCCAGTGCAACTGTCTTACCATTTTCCTTATGTGAAAATTCTTTTCCATTAATTGTACACCGTCTAAAAACCATCTTATTCTCTGTCAGTGTCCCTGTCTTGTCAGAGAATATGTACTGGATTTGTCCCAGGTCTTCAGTGATATTGAGTGCTCGACACTGAATGGGCAGGTCTCGCTCTTCATCATACAAATCCATATCATTATGAATAAAGAAGATTTGGCCCAACTTGACCATCTCGATAGATATATAGAGGGAAAGGGGGATTAAAATCTGAAAAAAAAAAATCATTTTCCAGAATGTTAGAAAAGCTTTTTCAGAGTTTATTTCTTTTTCTACTTTCAATATAATTTAAGGCTAACTGGTGTACCAAGGCAAGTTTTCTTTCTATCTAATCTTAAGGTAACAAAAATACCCTTCCCAACCTTGAAAATAATAGTTTAAGAAATGGCATCTTGTAGGCCTGGGTAACAACGGAAAAATTTGTTTCTAAAATCGATTTGTATTTGGGGGTTTTTTTTGTTTCGATATTTAAAATAATTACAAAATTTTCCTTTTAAAAAGTTCGATATTTACGAAATTTAGTAAATGGTAAAAAATTAACGAATCGATTTCCGAAACAATAACGAATCGATTCGTTAATGGCGGACGCGACCGCGAAATACGCTAAAAAACCTCCAAAACCTTCTGAAGCTTCCCTCTCCCTCTGTTGTTGACTGTTGGTGTGATATTATAATTTTTTTTCACTAATTAAAACATAAAACTGGCCCAGACATGCGGAAATAATAACGAAACGACCTCAAAACAATAACGAAACGAATACAATATCGAAATACGAAGCATTTACAAAACGTTTTTGAAAATTCGTTTTTTTAATAATTGCTCCAGAATGGTTCGTTATCGTTTTGTAATTGAAAAAATTAACGAATTATTAACGAATTACGAATTAACGAAACGAAGCCGCCCAGCCCTAGCATCTTGATGTGGCATAAGGATGCCTGAGGAATGTGATTTTTTCATCCATCTATCATTTTGCAAAAAGGTCATCAGTTGGGATACAAACTCATTCAAAGATCAAAATGCATCCAATGTGCTTATTTTAAGAAGAAAATAGTCTAGAAATTGTGATATGTTTACTTTAACAGATATAACTAGGAGATTTAATCTTGATGTGCAGTCTTTAGCCTGTTTAATCAATACTGATAAATATTCTTCCCACCTGCAAAAGGATGATCATTGTCAGGAACGTGTAGAAACCTGCAAGAGCTGCAGAAAGATAGTTGCCGTGTACATCTGGGATAACATACAAGGGGTGTTCTGGAAAAATCCCATTCCAAATGCCATGACCTATATAAAAATAGAAATTGCTTAGAATAATAAATATAGAAAAGGAAATGCTGGAGGCAAGCATAATTGTTAATATTCTGACCCAAATCTTGTTGCTACTTCTGACTATAGCAGACTCACTATTTTACAATTAATTAAATAGGTCTACTCTTGGTAGGATCAACAAAGAGGATTCGAATCTAGCCACTGACTTGTACAAAGAAACAGACTCTATGTGCAATTACAGTGATATAATATGATAAAAATAAAACAGAGTAAATTGGATCATGAATATTTAACAGCTTAATATTATTTATGAATTTATCACAACATTGGGCCCTTCCACACAGCCATGTAGTTTTAATTCGATTTTCGCTTTTTAACCAGACCAGTGCCTGGGATGTTTTAATTGGTTTATATAATATCACTACTGTTTATTTTCACTTATGAATTATGGTTGATTTGTCAATTTAATACTGTATTTTCTGGTGTATTAGACTACTTTTAACCCAGGAAAATTTTTCACAAAAGCCAGGGGTCATTTATACGCTGGGTGTCATATTATAGGCCGGGTGCTGAAACTTCTGAGCCAGATTGGAGAATCTGCGGTCACTGCATATGGTGGGGGGAGCTCAAAAACGTCCATGGCTGCATCCCCGTCATATACGCTAACCGTATGAAAGCAACAAGGGTGGCGATGTACAAGTACAGTAGAAGAAACTCCACTCACCAGGATTCATGGAAAGAAGTGACTTAACACAATCCCGATGATGAGGTGAGGGAACGCCTCACTGGGAAGGTGTAAATGAAGGGCGGAGCAAGCTACGGCCATCCAGGATGCCCAGGGTATGAAAAAAAGAGATAGAGCAGTGCTGTGCCCAGAAGAACACACCTCTTTCACCCATTTGGCCTGCCCTTGTACCCTATTACCATACCCAGAGGCGGTCCTAGGTAATTTTCAATGGTAAGCAAACAGTATTTTGGCACCCCCCCTCCCCAACCAATCACAGATAGATAGATAGATAGATATAGATATATAGATATATATTGGCATAGACAAATTTTGGCCCTCCAGGTATTTTGGACTTCCTACTGGTTGTTTGGAATTGTGGGAGTTGAAGTCCAAAACACATGGAGGGCCGAAGTTGGTCCATATATATATATATATATATATATATATATATATATATATATGCTAGCCATCCCCTGCCACGCGTTGCTATGATCCAGTCTGGTCATCTTGAAAAGAAAGTAATGAGAAAGTTGGTTTCTTATGTAATTTCTTGATGCTTGTGGGTAAACAGTATTTCTTGTTGTTTCTTTGTCAGTGTTAATGTAGTGATTGTCTGGTTTGCCTACTCTGGAACATAAAACATATCATTGTCCTTCTTTAGGGATCCTTTTCACATCTATGATATTATATCTTCCGTGTGTGTGTGTGTGTGTTTGAATCCTATAGATCTATCTATATCTATGGAAGGATGGCTCTTTGTCAGGAGGGCTTTGATTGTTTTCTTGCTCTGGTGAAGGGAGTTGGTCTGGTTGGCTATAAGGAAGCATTTCTCAACCTGGGGTTGAGACCTCTGGGGGGATCATGAGGAGGTGTCAGAAGGGTCGCCAAAGACCACTGGAAAACAGTGTTTTCTGTTGGTCATGGGGGATTCAGTGTGGGAAGTTTGGCCCAATTGTATCGTTAGTGGGGTTCAGAATGTACTTTGATTGTAACTGAACTATAAATCCCAGTAACTACAACTCTCAAATGTCAAGATCTATTTCCCCCCAAACTTCACAGGTGTTCACATTTGGGCACATGGAGTATTTGTGCCAAGTTTGATCTAAATCCTTCATTGTTTGAGTCCACAGTGCTCTCTGGGTGTAGGTGAACTACAACTCCAAAACTCAAGGTCAATGCCCACCAAACCCTTTCAATATTTTCTGTTGGCCATGGGAGTCCTGTGTGCCAAATTTGGTTCAATTCCATCATTGGTGGAGTTCAGAATGCTCTTTGATTGTAGGCGAACTATAAATCCCAGCAACTACAACTCCCAAATGACAAGGGAAGGAGGGCCGAAATTGGCCCAGGCCTGTGTATGTATATGTATGTGTGCATGTGTACACACACACATATACATATACATACACACACACAAACACACATCTGTATATATATATATGTATACATATCTATGCAAGGAGGAGGCCGCTGCCAAAGAGGGCATTGGTGGCGGCGGCTTCCCCCTTGACCCTCCGTGATCCTTCCTCCCCAGGCTTGGCGCCAGGCTTGGGAGCCAAGCCTGGCGAGGAAGGGACCCTTTTAGCCACGGAGCAGCAGAGGGGCGGGGAGGAGGCTGCTGGCAAAGAAGGCCTCAGCGGCGGCAGCTTCCCCCTCGCCCCTTTGCTCCTCCGTCCTCCTTCCTCCCCAAGCTGGGCGCCAGGCTTGGGAGCCCAGCCCGGGAAGGAAGGGAACTTTTAGCCACGGAGCAGCAGAGGGGCGAGGAGGAGGCTCCTGCCGAAGAGGGCCTCAGCGGCAGCCGACCCCCCTCACACCTCTGTTGCTACATCCTCCTTCCTCCTCAGGCTGGGCGCCAGGCTTGGGAGCCTAGCCTGGCGAGGAACGGACCTTTTAGCCACGGAGCAGCAGAGGGCGAGGAGGAGGCTCCTGCCGATGAGGGCCTCAGCGGCGGCAGCTTCCCCCTTGCACCTTTGCTGCTCCGTGCTCCTTCCTCCCCAGGCTGGGCGAGGAAGGAACCCTTTTAGCCACGGAGCAGCAGAGGGGCGAGGAGGCGCCCCTGGCTGAAATGAAGTGTTCCGCAACGGCTTACTTTGCGTAACGGTTGAGCCGCCCCTGACCATACCTCCTTCTCTGCCTCTCAGATCCCTCTCCTGAGGACTGTAGTGAAGCGGCACAGGCGTGCATGTGCAAAATCTGAGAGGCAGAGAAGGAGGGTATGGTAATAGCAAAATTACCTTATTGAAATCAAATCTGATGTTTTTAAAATTTTTATTTAGTGTACGCTGGAAGAGGGGTAATCTTATATGGTGAGTATATCCCAAATTCTATATTTTAACTGGAAAAGTTGGGGCTTGCCTTATACATCCAGTTGTCTTATACGCTGGAAAATATGGTATGTTGTTTTATTTTTATATTATTTTGCATTGCTTTTTTGATGATTTAAGTTATTTAAATAATTAACATAATTAGCTTAATAATTATTGTTTATGGTTTGCACTGTTATTGTGTTGTAAGCTGCTCTAAGTCCCCTTGGGAAGATGGTGCAGGATACAAATAAAGTTGTTGTTGTTATTATTATCATTTAACCCAGAATATCAAGACAGATAATCAATAATATCTGTTTTGAACTGGATGGCCATCCACATAGGGACTTATAATGCAGGAGCTCATGCGGTTTTACCAGAGGCATCCAAACAATGTCTCCGGTAAAACCAAATTAATTTGGCACAAAGTGTTGGGGTTCAGCCTCTGTGTGACCCTGTACCTGATTCTTTGATTGTATTTTCTGATGCCAATGTAGATGCCAATGTTGATTCTGAGGCCAATGTAGATGTTAATACTGATGATGGGTTGAATAGTGAAAATCCCACACCCTTGGAAAGTGAAAGTCTAAGTTCCCATGAGAACATTCATTCCGAACCGAGCAGAGAAGTTTCACTCCCTTGGGGAGAAGTTTTACTCCCTTTTCCTCCCAGCCTTAGTTCCCCAGAGAATCTGACACTTGGTCAGCTTAATGAGGGAAGGAGGGGGCAGATTCGGCAGAGCAGGGGAGAAGCACAAAGTTTATTTTATTTATTTATTTATTTCTGTTACTTATACCCCGCCCTTCTCACCCCCGAGGGGGGACTCAGGGCAGCTTACAAAAAGAAGGCAGAATTCGATGCCCATATCAAATACATACATATATAAACAATTAAAATAATTAAACAATTAACAGATTAAAAACATCAATATATAACACAATAGCACAATAGTAACAGTCTCATGGTCAGTGTTTCGAGTTCCATAGGTCCATTACGTTTCGTCATTATTTGCCCATCATTGTGGTCTTTCTTTCTAGCTGCCAGAGTTTCCAAAAGCCTGGTCCCACATCCAAGTTTTCAGCTTTTTCCTGAATGAGAGAAGGGAGGTCGCTGATCTGATCTCCCCGGGGAGTGAGTTCCACAGGTGAGGGGCCACCACCGAGAAGGCCCTGCTCCTCGTCCCCGCCAGCCTCACTTGTGATAGAGGCGGGGTCGAGAGCAGGGCCTCCCCAGAAGATCTTAGACTCCGAGGTGGGACGTAGAGGGAGATCCGTTCGGACAGATACACTGGGCCGGAACCGTATAGGGTTTTGTAGGTCAAAACCAGCACCTTGAATTGTGCTCGGAATGGATCGGCAGCCAGTGGAGCTGGCATAACAGGGGGGTGGTATGCTCCCTGTATGCCGCTCCGGTGAGCAATCTGGCTGCCTCCCGCTGGACTAGTTGGAGTTTCCGAGCAGTCTTCAAAGGCAACCCCACGTAGAGTGCGTTGCAGTAATCCAGTCGGGATGTGACAAGAGCATGGACCACCGTGGCCAGATCCGACTTCCCAAGGTACGGGCGCAGCTGGCGCACAAGTTTTAGTTGTGCAAAAGCTCTCCCGGCCACCGCTGAGACCTGGGGTTCCAGGCTCAGCGATGAATCCAGGATCACTCCCAAGTTTACGGAGGTCAGAAAGATTGAGAGAAATGCAAACAAAAACTTCAGGCATGTCTCGTAATAGATTTCTCTCCTTTAAGAGTGCCGGGTCTGAAGCTGTCTTCAGACCAGGCATCATTCTAGTTCCAAGTGCAAGCCTGTAGAGGCCTCCTGATTCAAGTGGCTGGGTTTCTCGTAGTTTCTCAAGTTGTTCCAAGTGTCATTAGCTGGGAGCTAGTAGATTTCATGATTCATCAAGGGTAACTCATTGTTTGCTGTGGTTTTTTTTTACTTGTTCATGGACATTGCTTGTTGCTGTTTTGCCATGTTTTTTATTTACCTCTGAT